CCCCCCCCAATTAAAACATTTAGCACATTAGGAAACACTGACCTAAAATGGGTCAGCAGACTTTCTCTTATGGGCCACATAATAAACACATTTATTCTCTGGTGCTGAGGGCTGGACCCATGGCTTCAACTGTACTTACTGCTTGCTCTTGCACTGAGTTGTCTTCTGGCCCCTCACAGGACATGTTTTAGGCACTGTCATCACTAGCCACTCTGTCATCATATAAAAAAGCCATCGTTAGGTTCCAGTCAAGCTTTATTTATGGATAGTGAAACTTGAATTTTGTACAGTTTTGTGTATCATGAAATAGTTTTCTTTTCTTTTTTTTTTTTTTTTTTTTCAACCATTAAGCAAATGCAAAAGCTGGCCTTAGGCCACAAGCCATCCCAAGTCAGATGGCAGGCAGAACTGGTATATGAGCTGGTGTGCCAGCCCTTTTTGAGAACCCGTCTCCTCAGCAGGCAAGTCCTGTTAGGCACAGCGCATCAGGTTCAGATTGTCAGGCCTTAGTGTTGCTGGCTGAAGAGCAGATGACATGAACAGACCGGTACAGAACTGCTGGTCTAGGAGTTTCCTCAGAAAACAACTGCGGGTCCTATCAAGGAACCTCTGGCGCCTCACATGTGGCCAGCATGTCAGGCTGGGAGTGTCATTGTGGGCTTGTCATTGTTAATTTGTTCATTCATTCGTGTCATTCACTCCCTGTACTCATAGGAACATTCGAAGGCACCTAGTTAACCCTCTACACAAACTAGTGAAGCCACTTCTACCCCAGCAGGCTCACCATGCTCTTGTTGGTTTTGCCTTAGAGAAGCATTCTCCAACTTCTGATGATGTTCTTGTGATAAAAGGAGGACCCAAACATTCCTGCTGGCCCATCGGATATTGGGTTCAGTTCCCCAAGTATCTGTGGTATACTTGGGGAAGTGTGAACCGTCTGTCCAGATTGCGTGGCAATGTACAGAAAGGAGCAGAGAGCACACAAGTCCTTCCTCACCTGTGGCCCAGGTTCAAGGTTTCCAGCATCTCAGAGCCCACCACTGAGGATTTCACCTTCTGGGGTCCTCGCCTTGTCTTCACGCATATTTGTTCAGTCACAAGCAGCCTCCGTTCTGGGAGTAGGGACATGGCCTGGGAGCTCATGTTCCAGGGCCTTTGCTGTTTCTTCCTCTGGCATTCTTGCTTACATCCTCTTTTACTCAGTGGAACAGAGATTACTGATGGATGTCCTGAGACTCCAACCTTTGTGTTCCTCATATTGTGTGTGACTCTTTTGCCAGGTGTGGTGATAAGCACCTGTAATCCCAGCACATAGGAGGCTGAGGCAGGAGGATTGCCGTGACCCCATGCACATAGTTTTCTCACTCAGTTTACAGAAGAGGGTAGGCACCCAGCCTGGCCTCGCCCAACCTCACATTTGTCTCTTTTTTTTTTTTTTTTCAACAAATAATACACTGCATATATTCTTCTTAGTGGTTAATTGCACATTTGTCTCTTGTTGCTTCCTTCAGGAGGACGTCACCACGCTCTTCTCTCTGCTCACAGCATGCACACCTGGTCACCTTGCTTTAATGTTGCTTTGTGCAACACGGGCATTGCTGTCAGCATACCTATACTAACTACCTCTTCCCTTTCTCCTAGGAAAGACTGTGTCTTCACCATTGACCCATCCACTGCCCGAGACCTCGATGATGCCCTCTCCTGTAGGCCACTTGCTGATGGTAGGTGCGCCTTTTCTGCCATGCCGGGACGAGCATTCTGTGCGCTCCTAGGCAGCATGCTGTACAGGGTTGGGTTTGTCTGGCTCCTCAGCTTGCTGAGGCCTCCAAGCCTGCACACTGTGAGGACGTCAGGTCATACTCCTGGAGGGCCTTTGGCAAGGGTGGGGATGGGGACAGTCTCACCTTGACTCCTCTTGGGCTGGGAAAGAGGCCGAGGTGAAGACAGAAGAATCCCTTCCAGACCTTGGGCCTTTGAGTGGCTCCAGTTTGGGTGGAGGGAACAATGGAGATGCAGGGCCCTGAGGCTTCTGGGTGGCTGGGGGCTGAGGTATCCCCCTACAAGACAGCTCCGCCCTGGCTACCAGGAGGTGCTTGTCCAGCTGCTTCCCACAGTGCTTATCCACCCCTGGCCTTGTGAAAGGCAAGCTCTTAGGGTTCTTTAAACTTTCTTTTGCAGTATTGCTTGGCAGGAAAAATGTGCAGTTGAGGCCCATGGTCTTTGACAGCTGAAATAGGAGGAAAGGAGGGCAGCAGCTGACTCTCAAAGAAAAAGTGTGAGTGTGGTATGCACACCTATAATCCTGAGCCTGAGAGGCTGAGACAGAAGGACTGCAAGTGTGAGCCCTGCCTGGACAGCTTAGTGGGACCTTTCTCAGAGCACAAAAGAAGAGAGGTTGTAGCTTAATGAGAAGGCTGTGGATTCAATCCCCAGTAGAGGAAAAGCATACAAGGTGCAAGAAGAGGAAAACCCATCCATCCCTTCATCATGCCCCAGATATGCGTCCATAATCTCCAGCTGTTTCTAGCCCTTCTTTATATGATGCCCATGGCTCTGGTTGTTTTCAAAAACAGCCTTGGCACTGAGCTGCCACTGAGGTTTGCCTGCCATGGGTGTCTGGCACTTCCAGTTTCCGTCTGCCTGAGCCTCGATGCCCACTGCAGAGCACCCCAGCTCCAGCCTCCATCTTCTGACTGTGAGGCAGTGACACTTGGGAGGGAGACACGGGAGGCCAAGTGCAGCACTGCCTGCGAGTGTGTGCATCTCCTCCTTTAAACTGTGAGCAAGACTGCTCAGCTTAGTAGCTTTGAAAAGTACAAGGAAGAGCAGGGTGAAAGTAAAAGCAAAAGAAAGTAAAAGCAAAAACAGGGTGTCCACAGAAATTTTAGAGAAGGTATATATTTTCACAATCCAAATTGGAGCAACCCATTTATAAAAGCAAATGCCAGCCTTATTTCTTATACACTAAGCCCCCATGCTGTGTCAAGACGTAGGCAGGTGCTCTGTGTGTGGACACCTCTGCAGCCCTAGCCCCAGCTGGCCACCTGGGTCCCAGCTCAGTACTGTTAGTAGGCAGGTGCTACAAACAGTTGCAGTGTGTGGCATGGACCAGGGAGCCAGCACATGTCCTGCACCCACTCTAAGCAGGGAGGCTCGTATTTAGGGCACAAGTGTGCCAGCAAAGATTCCTTAGAAGAACTGGTAAAAACCAAGGCAGCACAGGTAAATTGGGGGAACTCAGAGACCAAGGAATGTTCTTTATTTGTCAGACAGCTGGAAGCTGTGTAAAGGTTGTTCGACTATTCAGCCAAGTTGAAAAGTAATTTAGTAGTGTGAAATGAAAGAAAAGGAGTGGAAGCAGAGGTAGGAGAATGAGCCAGAGAAGCCCATGGACTCATTTAGGCCTGGAGACCTAGCCTGGAGATGCAGGGTGGGGTGGACGGATGTGGGAGAGCCACATCAGAGCAGAGGAAGGGGGCCCCAAGGTGGTGCCAAGGTTTCAACCTGGAGGGTGGATGACGGAGCCCACAGGTTAGAAATTAGGGAGGCCGGTGGCCACGCTGGGCTAGCAGGAGCATGTGTGGACAGATTGGGTGTCTGGTAAGGCACGTTCACTTGAACGCTGTAAACCCTCTCCAAGGAGGTGGGAAATAACTAAGTTAAATAGGTACAGTCATATAAGCATATGCAAGGGAACTCTGAGGAAGAGCTAGCCAAAATGTGAACAGTGATTATATTCATTCATTCATCATTCATTTGCTCTTTTTTTTTTTTTCCCATTGGTTTTCTGGAGACAGATCCTTGTTGTGTGGCTTGGGCTGGTCTTGAACTCGTTTTGTAGCCCTAGCTGGCCTGGAACTCATGGTGGGCCCCCTGCCTCGGCCTCCTGAGTGCTAGGGTTGCGCAAGTTGTGCTTTTATTAGGAAGATGGGATTGTAAGTGATTTTTTTCAACTGTCCTAATTTTTATAATATGGTAATAATAGCTTTATAATGAAAAAATGTGTAATAAAAAAATTATGAGGTACCAGAAATCACAAGCTTCCCAGTAGCTCATGGCACCAGGTGACCAGACACCTTCCATCTGCTTGGTTTGTCCTTCATTCCCAGGGGCAGCTGACATCTGTACACTGGCAGGGCTGCAGCCAAAGGCCAGGGGTGGGGTCAGCGCAGACTTGGGGAAGGCCCAGGGTGGTCAGTCAGGTGTCGTTATGGTGGCATTCCTACAGTTGGCCCTTGTGACAGCAGTTACTGCCAGGGCCATTTATACAGGGAGATGAAAAGTGAAAAGTTAATTCCAGATTGGACGGGGGCAAGGTTGGCTAAGCTCAGGTTCCGTTAGTTACCAGTTTGTATCAATTCTTGCTTAGGGGAAAAACCATTCAGTGTTTCAAAAAGCAAATCATGTTTTCTGGGCATACCTACATCCATAGCTATTTTTCTTTAGAGAAAATACAGCATAAAAGTTTTACTTCAGTTAGTCACGTTGAAGTCACCAGAGAGACTGTTCCGTGACGGATCTGTTCTGCACATCTGGTCCTCCCCCTGTCTGTAGCAGCCCTGTGTTTTCCCAGGACTGTGTCCATGCCCCTGTCAGGTGCAAGGCATAGACCTGCGAGTCCCCGAGACACAGTGACCTCCCACTCTCCAGTCCATCATCCTCAGCTGGGGAGGGCTGCCCAGGCCCATCATGGAGGCTCAGCTTTAGAAGCGAGTCCCCTGCCACCGACCTGATTCTTCCTGACTGCACTCGGGAGGAAGGACATTCATGAGAACCCAGCACTGCTGTCTTTCACTTCTCTACAAGATGCTTAGTAAAAAAGTGGTGTTAGAATGAGAATGAAGGCAACTCCCGCAGCTCGGTGTTTTATGATGGCTTCAGATCGCTTGCTCATACCTCACAGCTGACCTCACTGCTGCAGAGTGCATATGCCACAGTGGTCACATTGTCCTCTGGTTTTCTCACCTCTGCAGTGTCCACTTATTAAATACCCAGATTGCGCTTGAACTTTCCACCTGAAAGTCAGCCCATTCTGCCTTGAGGCTGGACCACTCCTAGGAAATCTCAGCCTGGAATGATCTGAAATACTCCTGTCTTCCAGTGATTTTCTACTATTCACCCCATTGGCGCCCATCAGAGCCCTATGGAGTAAGTCTAGTGTTTCATGTGAAACCCTCCTGATACTAGGGAACAGAGAACAATGGCTGTGTATCCTCTGAGCCACATCATCTCAGCTGACCTGTCCCTCCTTGCCCAGCAGCGTTTAGACCAGGGTAAAGCTACCCATTCTGTTCAAGTAAAGAAGTATTATTGTTTATCTCTACTCTCAAAGTAGAAGTTGTCAGCCAGGCGAGTCCCAACCTGGGTTCAGCCTTTAGCTGCCTCAAACCCCCAGCAGTCCTACAGGAAATTGGAGCCCACTTCTCCAGTGCTTTGCACCTCTCTTATGCTCTCCAGTGTGTGGTCTGCCGTTGAACATGTTGGGGTTTTGCTTGTCAGGACCTAAGAAAAATGAATGGGAAAGGGGAGTGGCTGCAACTGTTTGGACAAGGAAAATGTTCTGAATTAGATAGGTGCATGGTCTTTTGGAGATACTACATGCTACTGAAGGAGAGTGGATGAATGATAAAGAAGGAGAAATAAATGGACATATCCTATTCCACTGATCCAGAAGACTTCATAGAAGTTGGATTTACACCTTGTGTACAGTGTAGCAGGGGTCTTGGTGGAATGTTGACTGCATACACCTGGTCTCATCCCTCTTGTCTCTCCCTGTGCCTGTTTTCATCTCTGACCCATGAGGTTTAGCTGAGGGGTGCCTACCCCACACCCAGTCCTCACCATCAAGAGCAAGGTGGTGCACTTTCTCCTGGGGAGAAGACAGAGCCCAAGAACACAGGGCACAGAGCTTCCTGTCAGGCTGTGCTCTCCCTTTCGGGGTGCCACCCCTGTGCCAGTCACCCCCAGGTCTGACCATTCACCTGCTCTACTGCCTCCTCTCAGTATGTGAGTCCTTTTTCCCCAGGGCCTTCCCAGCTCTGCATGGCTCGGGAATCTGCACTCTGGCCCCTGGGACCAAAGACTCAGAAAACCCTGCACATCTCAGGAGCCCTCACCTTCGTCTGCAGACATCAGGGCAGCCCTGGCTCTCGTGTTTCCCCTCCTTGGAATCCCCCCCTCCCCCCGATGCCAAGGGCACTCCTGTTCCTGGCGTTGCCCTGCGTCCCCCATCCTCAGGACCCCCCTTCCTGCCCTCCAGCAGCAGCTGGTTTCTCACTGTGTCCTGTGCTTGGAGGCTTCCTCAGCCATGCTCCCAGCTGGTCTACTCAAGCCCCAGTCACCCCTGCCTTTATGGAAAGACACGCTGTTCTGTCTACTGTTGAACCCTCAGTGCTCCAAGCTCTAGGTGGTCCCTATGCAGTGCTTATTGAATGACTGGCTGGGTGAAATGGGTGAATTCTGAATTTCTGGATATTGGAAAATAGAGTGCCAGCAGCCACCGGCATGGCACGGAGGAGAGCCCTGGCCTTGGCCGCTGGGACAGCAGAGCAGTTGTGGTGGACCTGGTGTCCGTGGCACAGAGGACAAGCCAGGCTGAGGAGGTGGGTGAAGGAACCACAGCCAGTGAGTGGAGGCCGTGCGTGCAGGTTGCACACGCAGAACCCTGGAGGCTGTAGAGGTAGAGAGGGAGCACAGGCAAAGCCGGCTGTTTGCTTGAAGA